CAATATTGTGGAAGAATATTTGTTCAGCTCGATCCAAGATATCTCAGCATCTAGAGTGGGTAATTATGAATGGTAAATCTGTTTATTTCTGGACAAATCAGTGGGGAGGTTGGCATAGCACTCTTTTTGATCTGGCTTCAGTCAAGCCTCCTATGACTGACCTGAACCTCAAAGTGTGTGATGTGGTTGGTCCTAGCATAGAGGATTGGAACTGGAAATACCTGGATAATTTCTTGGATACTTCAATCTACAGCAAACTGAGTAAAATCCCTCCTCTTCATCCCAGCAACTCAGAAGACTGGCTCAATTGGAAGAAGATTATTTCAGGTAAGTCTGTGGTGAAGAATGCTTACTGTCTTTTGATGAACTCAAACTATGAGAAGGACAAAATCTGGTCAGCTGTCTGGAAGTGGAGAGGATCATATAGAATAGCTGTTTTCTTATGGCTAGCTTGTTTCAATAAGCTTCCTGTAAGAAACATCACTTGTCTTTGGAGTGGAGGGGAGGTGCAATGTCCCACCTGCTTAATGGGCCAAGAAACTTTGATGCATACTCTTAGAGACTGTATAGCTGCTAGGAGCATCTGGGAGAGTCTGTTTGCTGGTAATGTTCCTAGAAATTTCCACATAGCAAATGGTTTGGAGTGGTTTAGACTTAATCTGTATAAGCCATTCTCTTCTCAACTCTGGCAATCGTGGAAAGAAATATTTTTTGTGACATGCTGGTTCCTATGGCAGTGGAGGAATTCCACCATTCACGATGAGATTTGTAAAGAACTAATTCAACCCAAAAGCTTAAGTTATTGAATGAGGCTACATTAATGATTTTATATATCTCAACACGTCCCCTCACACGAGAGCCCACTGGGCTTGAAGAGTGGACAATGCACAGGCCCACCTACCTGTGCGAACAAAGAAATTCCACTTGAAAGAAAGTGGGGGGCGGCGAGGATCGAACCCGGGACACGAGGCTCTGATACCATGTAAAGAACCACTTCAACCCAAAACCTTAAGGAGTTAGGTGAGGGCCTTTTTAATGATTTATATTATTCTCTAACACACCCCCTCACTCAATAGCCCTTTGGGCTTGAAGTGTGGATATTGCACAGGCTCAATTTTTGGTTTACCTTCTTTTTGTGCTTTTTATTTAATTCCACAAGTGGGGGCGGTGAGGATCGAACTCGTGACCTTATGGTCACTGAAGCTCTGATACCATGTAAAGAACCACTTCAACCCAAAACCTTAAGGTAATTAGGTGAGGGCCTTTTTAATGATTTATATTATTCTCTAACAACATTTTTTCTAGACCTCAAGATCCAATCCACAGGATTTTGAGTTACCTAGTGGATATGAAGAAGAGTAGAAGTGAAGACCCTTTCTCTATAGTACCTGAACCTTCTAATGTTCCTGGCTGCTCTGAACAGAAGGAAAACTATAAAGGTGTAAAAAAATTTGTAGATGGGGTTGTCAACCTATCAACACATATAGGTGCTTGTGGAGGCTTTGTTTGTTCATCTAATGGTGATTGGTTGAGTGGGTTCTCCTACAATATAGGACCCTATTCTCCTTTGGAAGCTGAGTTAAAAGGTATCCTCCAAGGTCTCAAGACAGCTGATAATTTAAAGCTCTCAAATGTCTGGCTGGGCTGTGACAGCAAAGAGGCCATTATCTGCATAAAGGCCGAACCTGGGTCTTATGGCTTCTCTTCATTAATAGATAATATCAAAAGAGCTGCCTATTCTTTTGATCATTTTCATGTGGAGTATATCCCTAGAGAATGTATTGAAATTGCTGATTCTTTAGCTAAGATAGGTATAGGCTACAAGGGAGAAGAGTTGAGGATTTTTTCCTCTCCCCCTGTAAGCATAGAGTCTTTTTGGAACACTTTCAAGTTGAATTTGCTGATAGAGCATGTGAATTTTAACATGCATCAGCTTTCTGTTTAGTTTTTTCTGGGCTAGGCCCTCCATTTATATCAAAAAAAAAAAAAACTATACATTATACTTAGGTGAACAGAGACACAAATTTTTATTGTTTAAGCATACACATAGCTAGGGTAAGGCTGCGTACAAGGATTACCTCCACCCCACACTCGCTAATCGGGTTTAACGAGGAGTGATATTTTGATATTAAGCATACACATAGCTCTGTGTGCAAATAGAGGGTCAAGTTTTTAATAGAAACAGCCACACATGATGATGTCAGTATCAAACATGCTAAACTGGATGACACAGACACAGCACTTACAGCATTGGAGGGAGATGGCCAGCAATGTAAGGCTGCACCAGCATGGATAGCATCAACCGAACCCGATGAGAAGGGAAGCCTCGAAACATCCGCCCTTACAAGAGCAAGATTACTGGAAACAATGAAATGAAACATGATTTATAATATAATATAAATCATTAAAAAGGCCCTCATCCAACACCTTAAGGTTTTGGGTTGAGATGGTTCTTTACAACATCAATGTCTCATTATGCAAACAAGAAAAAAATGAATTCATTATTATTATGCTGCACTGATTTCAGAATCAAGCAGAGGAAGAAGAAAACCTTACGTGGTTGAAAGAGTGTCATCTTTCTTAATGAAATCATAACACTGGCGAAGCATATTTTCAGAAAAATCTAGTGCAATGACTCCAGAATAGGTTCCGGATTTAGCAAATTTTCGGGAAAATAAACCACTACCACAGCTAACATCAACAACACGACCACCTTTAGCAGAATTGAAGTACTCCTGAGCCATGTTGAACTGCATTAGAAAGGAACGTTATGAGCTAAATATGCATAGCATTACTATGAAGCAAGCAAACAATACAAGACATATGGCCTCACATGATTTCCATCCGGTGAGATAAAATAGGCAACACAGGCAGTGACAGCATACCTCTTCATCAGGACCAGGAAAGCCGCCTAGATTAAAAATCTGACGCCAACCTCTTTCATATAAAAATGAAACAAGTGGACTCCTAGCAAAGGTTTAGACCAAAAGGAAAAGATAAGAACATCCCCAAAATAACTAAGATATGCAGAATTGCATTAGATTACAACTTTGTGTCACATATGTTGAAAAAATATATATCATCACATAACCAAAAAAAACTGTCCCATCAAATAAAGAAATACATGAAAAAAAGGACCTACATAAGGATCTTGTAAATGCCTTATGTGACAATCTAAGCTCAAGAAGTGTATATCTGACATGAATATGTTATAGAATACCATGGTGCTATAGCAAAAGGCAATCTTATGTCATCAAATTGGGGTTAAATAACCAATCTATTTATACCTGAAAAGCTCAGTGCGAACTGGTTGGACTTCAGTGTAATCCCTCAACCCAGCAGTAACAGTCAGATCCAGATACATGTCTTCACCACAGTATGATTTCTTGCATCTTTTACACTTGAATTCAGACCTGTATATTGCTGATCTGGATTTTTGGATATATTATAAGTAAATTACTATAAAACTGGATTTTGTATATATACAATATATAATACAGATATTTATGCATGCATATTTGCCCAACTTACAAGTTAAGGCCAGAGGGACCTTTTCTTATCAATGGTTCATAACATATTGGGCATGCAAAGAAGTCTACTTCAATTGCCTGAACCTGCTGAGTACTTGAATCCTGGAGGCAAAATTAATCAAATAAGTTGAAATTAGGAAAACAGATATAACTAGGATAAATTTACTGCACTTCCAAAATTTGTGATAGTTACTGTTCGGTCCTGGATAGACCGTATTGCTATACCGTAGGATATGCGCTCAGTGATAATATATATCAAGTGTATACTAGGCTTATAGCCGAGGTCCCAATCACTGCGCAAAAGCAATAGGCTTATAGCCAAGGGGTGAGTGTGTGCACAGTGTGAGCAGTATTAGTAAATAGGTTAAAAGTATATACCTGAGGTCTTTAACCTCTTATTTATAAGGGTTACCTCTTGGGCTTGTGTAGATCTCCCAGTTGTAGTAGGATTTAACTTCCTTTCTGTTGGGATAGGGACTCTATCCTCAGCTGCCTTACTGTTTTATATTGTTAGGATAATGGAGAATTATCCTTTAAGGGATCCTTGGGTAGATGGTTAGGATATGGAAATATTTCATAACAGTTACAAATGAAATAACTATATTGTTTGTTTGAAAAATACATTAAAAATGTCTCACTTCTTGCCCCGTTTATATAATTGTTCTTGAATTGACTCATCCACTTGGGCAAAAAAGGAGGGAATTTTTAATTTTGATTCAATAAGTAATGACCCTTTTCTCCATAAAAGTAAAAAACAACCGAATCCATCTCTACCCCGGAATTCTCTTAGCTTCCATAGTTTAGTGTCGCGAATTCAAATAATAATTATAAAAAAAAAAAAAAAAAAAAGTGGGTACTGAGGGTATACCGACTCCATAACAAAAGAGGAACTTGCACGAATGGTTGTTGAGGTTAAGGAAGAGGGGAAGCGAAGGATGCGAGGACGAAGCTGGGATTTAAAAGAAAGATATGGGCATTTTGGGAATTGCAGTTGATGCACAGGAGAAGCAGCCATGGCCATGCAAGTGAAAGCACCCTCTTCCTCTTGTCTTGAGAATTATGCACACAATAACACTCACTCACTTCAAGTTTGTTTTATGAGTGTACTATATGCACATCTATTTATATAGTTTTTCTTATACGTGCAAACAGAAAAACATCAATTACATTGAACCCGAATTTAAGATTTTTTTTATGTCATGCTAAGTGCATGTTTGTAAAAGATGAACTACGTTTCTGTACCGCATTTGATTTGTTAAAAACTGAGGGATAAAATAGGAAAAAGAAATTGTAGTTGGATTGATTCATCAAATGGTTTAATGACCCTTCAGTGGGCTACTTCAGAATACTGAGCACAATTGGGTTGAACCCTTTCAGAGTTTCATAAAGCAACAACCTTAAAGGCCCAAACTTTTGGCAGATAATTACAAAACCGATTTTTTTAAGGAACCGGATAGGATTCATGGGAAAACGTAAGGTCTGAGGATTTCGTAGATAAAGAAAGAAACTGTAGTAACCGCTTCAGCCTGCAACTGTAAGCACAGGCACAGCACTTCAGTTACTACTGTTGAGAGCTGAAAGTGCAAAACTAATGGCTACCCATATCAAATTCAAACCTTTGCTTCCACTTTCTCATTTGTCAAACCAAACCACTTGCCCTTTAACTTCATGGGTTTCCTGCATGCCCATTTCCGATCCCATGGCTTCTCTTCCAATTTCTCGTGCTGGGTATCAGCGAGGAAATGTTGCAGTCTCGGTTGCTTTCAACCCCCAAGGGAACTTTGACATATCTTTATTTGACGACGATGGTAAAAGCTGAACTTTGTACATCTATACTATTACTCAGTCGTTTTCTTTTCCATTTTTTTATGCTTTCCTAATTCATTTGAATAAAATATGGGATTAGTGTTTATTTTCGGGGTTTTGACTTAAGAAATGCAAATTTTAAAAAAGTCCACCTAGTTCGTTGACCAAACGTTTTACCGGATTAATGCAGGAAGACGCGTTTCAGGTGGTTATGCGTTTCTGACAAATCTGAACACGTATGTATCAGGTACGTGTCTAAACACGTCTGTACCAGGTGGCGCGTTTCTGACTGTGACGCGACTATGTCACGGAATGCGTGCCTGAATATGACACATCTTGATATTGTGCTCAGAAACACGTACCCGGTACAGACGTGTTCAGATTTGTCAGAAACGCACATATGTCAGGTGCGCGACTAAACACGTAACCACTTGAAACGTGTCTTCCTGCATTAGTCCGATAAAACGTTTGATCAACAAACGTGAATTTTTTTGAAATTTGCATTTTTTTAGTCAAAAACCCTTTATTTTTGGATTCATATATTTTATTTTATTTTTCTCTTCTTATGGCCTCGAGTGGATCTCATATCGACCGCACACATTTTTACGTGTGTAAGAGATAAAATTATATCTTGTAACATAAAAAATATTAATCCCATAAAATATATAAAAAATGCGACAATAAGGATTGAACTTTAGACAACTAGTCTTTGACTTGTTATTACTTCACAAATAATTAAGGTTTGAATTTTAGACCACTAGTTTTAGACTCTAATATTATGTCAAGAATCAACTCTCCTAAAAGTTTAAGTTGTTAAGAGAATGTGTTGAAATATTTTTATTATATCTCTTAACACTTAATCCTTTGTGACTAGCAGAATATGTGCTACTACTATCTTGCAGTGCTCCATGCATTTAATGGAATTTATTAATTATTATACTAGAACAGATTTTGGTTGACAGATGCCTCTAAAGTTGCACCTCCTATGCCCCCAACTGAAGGGCGATTTGATGTTGTTATTGACAATGATGTTATTTCTCGTCTTGACTTGTCCCCTTTTCAAGCTGCAACAGGCATGAAATCCCCTTTATCTGGTATGCAAGCTATTGAACCTTGAAGATTGTTTAACTGATTTTTGGGAATTGGGATATTAACTTTCATATTTAACTTGGATATTGTTGCCTGGTCCTATATATTAATGTTACAGTAAAACCAAAAGAATTTCTTGAGCGTACAATTGGCTTTACCATCAACTACACTAAAGAAGATCCTCAGGATCCTCGAGAATTATCAGAGTTTCCTGATATTAGGCTATGGTTTGTGAGACTTGATGCTACTTATCCATGGTTACCAGTTTTGTTGGACTGGAGAGCTGGAGAGCTGGCTCGATATGCTGCTATGTTGGTTCCACATCAGGTGATATAAAAAAGTGCATGCTTGTGTGTGTAGGAACATTTGAATGCTAACTCAGTATTTAATATTTATATCTTATGTTGCAGATGAATATGAGAATGGGAGTTGTTTTCAATCCAGAGGCGTTGGAATTGTTTGCTGTGAAGAAAACTATTATTGTGTATTCCTGGTTGAAGCATCACAACATTCCCAAGCCTAAAATAAAGGTAAGTGATATGGCCAGAATGCTTGGATTTGGAATTGGTGATGAGCTATATGACTTAATTGAGAACCATCCAGTTGATCTATCATAAAAAGGGCACCTAAAGAGTACTCAGATTCACATCCCAGAATACGAGACCCTAAGCATAAGAATTTTTTTCTTGTTTCTGTTGATCATATATATGATGAAGTGTACCAGCACACATTAAGAGCAACTAGACTTGCAAAGGAGCAATGAGATTAGCAGAGCATAAGAGAGTCATTAAAATTAAAAATAAAAATAAAAATTGAGCTAAGAGTGTAGTTTTTGAAACTTAAGTAACATCACGATAAGGGTTTGCTCATTGCATGATTCCCAAAAGTTTCATATTCAGTGTTCACAATTACCTGTTAGTGCAAATTTATTCTATTCAAAGTACCTTTTCGGTATTCTTGTTTCTATACATAGTGCAATTCTTTTACTCAATTCACATACGAATATAAATTTGGAAGTGAAAACAAAGAGAGCGAAATGTTCCAATACTCACATTTGGATGTGTACATATTTCAATTGCGGATGCAATGAATTGAAATCATTCTACTATTATGAAGCCTTTGTTTCAGAGACCTACGAATTTTCCTATCTCAATTTCTCCAACAAAGCCGTGATAAATAAGCTTCTTTTTAAATTGAAACAGGTTTTATGGACACTCCTAGACAAAAATACATTGCAAAGTTTCGGCAATAGAGGTCAACAGTGAAAAGGATTATCACGCTTATCACACCAAAAAATATAAATTATAGGTCAACAAATATGGTATCCTAAAAAAATTGGAGTATTGAAACTTCATAGATGGGAAGTGAGTAAAAAAAAAAAGGTATCTAATACGTAATTAGAATAATGTAACTGTGTTGTGACTAATGGGACAGGTTCAAATGAAAGTCCAGATGTGTCCAAGTTCCATGGGTTATATTGTTCGAAACAGTAACACAATCAACTTGCAGGCTGCATCAAGAAGGTATCAATGATCTCATAGCCAAATGCAAACAGGGACAACATTTATGGAAAATGTTCGATAGAAAGATATTAAAATTAAAAAAAAAAAATACACACACGGAATAAATTATCATTTGGTTGCGTATCATTTGAATAGAAAAGTATTAATGTCACCCATCATGCATAAGTCCGGATAATGTGACAAATGAGAGGGTTAAAATGAATTTGGGTCGCTATAATTGAATAATGGGATCAATGTGAATCTATTTAAGTAGTTTTGACCCAACTGCGTTTATTTTGGTCTGGGCCGATCCACAAGTTTTGAAGACATCAATATCCTGATGTTCAGTGCCTTCTTCTAGTTTTCCTTAAGAATTAAACATAAGTGAAAATTGTTATCAAAAAAAAAAAAAAACATAAGTGAAAATAAATAATATTTGTTAATATATATTAGTTATTTACAAAAAAAATATCATAATGATATTTTTATTTATTAAATAAAATATAATGGTCATTCCTTAAGATTAAATGTCCTTTGTTAACAGTCTTTTAACATTAATTTTCCCTAACTTATATTTGAGATCCGAATCATTCTGCTCTCCTTTCAACAAAAAAATAAATAATTAAATAATAATAAAAAAATCATAGCAATCGATCTCCTTTTACTAGAAAAGTATGAAATTCTTAATAAAATATCCATTGTACCTTGGTTGTTTTTCGCTAAACTTTGTTATTTGACACCACTTTTTTTACACTTTTTCTAATTTTAAAAATAAAGTTAATATATAAATAATATGTTAAAGGAATTAATATTTCTAACTTTATAGAAGATAATTTTTTTTCCTATACATACTTAACAATGTGTGTGATTGATAAATCTATGGTTTACCATGTTTTAGGGCTACTTATATATATTGATAACATAGTCAATTGCAAGGACACTTTGGTTTTATAGTGAAAAAGCTTGAAGATTGGATTTTATCTTGCTTGTTTTGAAGGTAATTTGATAATAAAGAGTGCTTAAAAGTGATATGGAACTTGGAGAATATAGTTGGAACTCAAATCTAGTCAAGTTAAAGCAAGTTGCAAGCAATCCAAGGGTCAGGAGAGCGCGCTCGAGCGCTATATAGCACGCTCTAGCGCGTTAGAACAACAAATTTGGCCAAATCCACTCAAGGAGAGCACTCAAGCGTTCAACAGCGCGCTTAAGCCCGTCAACAGAACTCCTGAGCACTCTAAGGCATAGAATTTCATAGTTATTGAACGTGGGAGCGTGCTTGAGCGCCCAACGCGAGCTCACTCAAGCCCAATCTATGAAATCATGCGTAGAAAGATTTAAGATGAGATTTGATAAAGATTTCATTGGAAGATCCTAGCGGAAATTAAAAGATATGCTTTCTTCACTATAAACAGGGGATTCATTCAGAAACAAAGAGGCTTTTTGATAAATTGGAGAGTGATGGGTTCTACCATGGAGCTTTGGAGATTCAAGACAACATCACATCAATGGAGTCTTGGGAAATTATTTTCTTTTCAATTGTTTTTGATTTCAATATGTTAGACTAAGTTTTTATGTAGTTAGAGACACATGGACCTCATTTGATTCTTATTATTATGAGTTAAATTGTCTCCACATTCTTCTCTTTCTATAATTAAATGAATTTATCTATTTTTAATGTTTTCTATAAGTTTGCTTCTTATAGATTGATTTAGGAAAATTGTATGACAATAGAGATGTTGATGCATGAACCTTGATTCGATAAATCCATCATAATTCTTGTGATCTAAGGATACACATAGGGTAATTATGCAATCTTTAAATTCTTGATCTTAATGCATGTTTTCTTGGGGAATAACCGAAGAACTAGGATTCTTTCAAGATTACATAGAATTAGAGTAACAAGGGATTGAACTCTAATTAGTTCAGAAAGAATTGATTATCGTTATATTAAGAGCAAATTGGTAACTATTTTACTCATAATAATGAGAGGATAATGGGGGAAATTGAAACACAAACTACGCTCATTCTTGGTAATTAAACAACTCATCTTTTTAAAAAAAAATTTGAATTTACATGTTATTGATTGTTTTCAAATTCAATTCTCTTCATCTTAATCTTGGTTGTCCAACTAAACCGCAATTAGTAAACTAGTGTTTAAAAATCAATTATTGTGGGAACGATCTCGTACATCGGTACACTTTATTACTTAACGATCGGTGCACTTGCCAATTCGCAATAGTGATTTATACTTTTTTCTCTCTTCTCTTCATATGATCCCACATGGGCCTCCCACACTTTTGTGTATGTGTAGGAAATAAAATTATCTCCTATAACATAAAGACAATAATCTCTATGTTAAAAGGTGTATTTTTATTGCTTTATTATTAAAAAATAATATAAAAATTGTAGATAACTAACATTATAATTTTCAATCGTTTCAATTTCTTCTCTCTCATTGGAACTCAAATTTATTTATTTATTTATTTTTTTGCTTTGTCTCCTTCTCGCGTCAGACCCAATTTCTTGACGAACTTAATTACTACAAAATAATGAATTCTAAAACAAAGTATTTTTGCTTTTGGAGGATGGGAAAATTCATTCAGAAGGGCATTTTGTCCCAGCTCCACATGTCTTGCAATTGTCATATATAACCCAACTCGTGCTATATGTAGAAAAAGCCAAGACTTGCGGAAAGAACTAAACCTAAAGCAGAGTCTTGTCATTCACATGAGCTAAAAGCTTTTTGAAGTGATAGAATTAAGTCTAATAATCACTCATATTCGTCGGTGATCCTACTATCTATCAACCTATTGGAACACTTTGTAAAGAAAAAAGGAAATGGAATTCTAACACTTTACCGCTAAAGCAATGAGATCTCATTTTTTACAAGAATCATAATGGTCTATTTGTAATCTTAATTTTTGTCTTTCCAAATATTATATATAAGGGTAAAGTCTGTGCCATTTTAAAGGATGTAAAGTTGTGTCATTTTAAGAGAGAGAAAGAGATAGATAAAGGAGGAGAGAAAGTTGACAAAAAAAAATAAAGATGTGGGTCCCACCTCTTTGTGAGAGTGAAAGGATATAAGTTGTGTCATTTAAAAAGATAAATATTTTTCCCTATATATAATAACTATTGAAAGTAAGATTGTTAGAACTATTGTTTGATAAACTAAAGGTACGTATTTCAATTATTTTTTAGAAGTGATTTTCCATAACCTTGAAAAAAAAATAGTGGCCCAAAATTTGTCTTGAATTATTTGAATTATGTTTGTGTGTTTCAATCACAATCATTGTTAAAGAACCACTTCAGCCCAAAATTTTAAAGTAGTAGGTGATGGTTTTTTTTAATACTTTATATTTTATTCTCTAACACACCTCTCACGCAAGATTCCTTTGATCTTGAAGCATGGACATGGCACAAGCCCATTTTTGGTCTGTGCTGCACAAGCCCATTTTTGTGGTCTACCTTGTGCTTTTCTTAATTCCACCTGAAAGTGAGAGGTGTTGAGATATATAGTCCCACATTGGTTGTATGTGCAACTAATGTGGAGTTTATAAGACCTTGGGTACTCCCACCCTTTGAGCTAGCTTTTGGGGTGGTGTATCCCAAGGTTCTTTACATGGTATCAGAGCCTTGCCGGCCCCCACTTTCTCTTGTGGCGTTTCTTAGCAAAAGGTAGGCTGGGCCTGTTGCATTGTCCACTCTTCAGGGCTCTCGTTTGAGGGGCGTGTTGAGATATATAGTATCACATTGGTTGTATGTGCAACTAATGTGGAGTTTATAAGACCTTGGGCACTCCCACCCTTTGAGCTAGCTTTTGGGGTGGTGTATCCCAATCTTTACAGGGGGCGGTGAGGATCGAACTCGTGATCTCCCGATTACTGAAGTTCTGATACCATGTTAAAAAAGAATCACTTCAACTCAAAATCTTAAAGTAGTAGGTGATGGTTTTTTTTAATACTTTATATTTTATTCTCTAACAATCATAATCTCACCTTTGTTTTCCCACATAACAAATATATCTTGGAAGACTTGAGACATTGTTCACGCCCATGTGCCAATGCATGCGATGAGGACAAGCACATGTGACTCTATATGAGGAGTCACAACACAGAGGTATGGGACTGTGAGAGGCTGGGAAATATAACAATAGATGAATAGAAGGATATGGAAGCAAACATATTAGTGTATATATCTCAGTACTAATGATGTGTGTAAGAGAAACATAGCACCTTTTGGACATGAGCTAGAATTGAAACAATCATGAAGCGACAAGCTCACAAAAAATTCAAAGCCCTTCCCCGATCTGCATGAAATCACTATCTTTGTTTTTCCTGTGTACAACAATAAGTGACCCTAATGTTGGTTGACTAACATTTTTGTAGAACTGTAGGGTCTTTAGGCTCTGCTGCTTCCTCTCTTGCTTTTACCCCTACGTTGCTGCCTCTC